CATTGATCTATGGGTCTGTTTTTGTGCCAGTACCATACTGTCTTGATGATGACAGCTTTGTAATAGAGCTGGAAGTCCAGAATTGTGATGCCGCCAGCTTTGCTTTTCTTTTTCAACATTCCTCTGGCTATTCGGGGTCTTTTCTGGTTCCATACAAATTTTAGGATTATTTGTTCCATTTCTTTTCAAAAAGTGGATGGTATTTTGATGGGGATTGCATTGAATGTGTAGATTGCTCTAGGTAGAATTGACATCTTCACAATATTTGTTCTTTCAATCCATGAGCATGGAACATTTTTCCATTTCTTTGTGTCTTCCTCAATTTCTTTCATGAGTATTTTATACTTTTCTGAGTACAGATTCTTTGCCTCTTTGGTTAGATTTATTCCTAGGTATCTTATGGTTTTGGGTGCAATTGTAAATGGGATCAACTCCTTAATTTCTCTTTCTTCTGTCTTGTTGTTGGTGTATAGGAATGCCACTGATTTCTGTGCATTGATTTTATATCCTGCCACTTGACTGAATTCCTGTACGAGTTTTAGCAGTTTTGGGGTGGAGTCTTTTGGGTTTTCCACATAAAGTATCACATCATCTGAAAAACAGTGAGAGTTTGACTTCCTCTTTGCCAATTCGGATGCCTTTTATTTCTTTTTGTTGTCTGATCGCCGAGGCTAGGACTTCTAGCTCTGTGTTGAATAGCAGTGGTGATAGTGGACATCCCTGCTGTGTTCCTGACCTTAGGGGGAAAGCTCTCAGTTTTTCCCCATTGAGAATGATATTTGCTGTGGGTTTTTCATAGATGGGAGGGAGAGAGTATCTTAAGAAGACTCCGCACTGAGCATGGAGCCCAGTACGGGGCTTAATCTCACCACCCTGAGATTATGACCTGAGCTGAAATCAAGAGTCGGATACTTAATCGACAGAGCCACCCATGTGCCCCTACCTAGCAGATTTTTGATGAGGTTCAAATATATTAAAAATTTTAAAGCACCTTAGAACTATGTTCAACAAGTAGTACCTACTATTGAAGTGGAGACTTTTTAGTATTCAAGTAGGGGACCAAAGAGAGTGAGCTGTTTAAAGCAAATTTGGGATTATTTTGCATTTGTTCAATTTACATCAGAGATCTTGTTCATTTCAAATCTTCTAAGCATCCTGATGAAATTAATTTTAATTCATATCTCTGTAGCTTCTTTTTCACAGAAGCATCCGATTTTTAGTATTCATGTTGATCTTGTAGTGCCCTGATTTTTCTTCCTTATTCCCCCAACTGGTATATTTCAGATTTACTGTCCTGGTTCTGTTGCCACCGTTCTTATCGAACAGTCTGTGTCAGTTTTATGGTTCACTTCTGTATTTAGAGTGGGGTGCTGTGATTCTCTGGTTAATGGAAACTGAAAAAATGAGATGTGCTAATAGTGATTTGCTTATATGTTTCCATGCTCCCCCCGCAAAAAAATTTTAAGGCTAATTTAACTATTTGATTGGGCTGTACAAGGAATCAGATGCATTGTGGAGCTAACAGTGATCTGATGATTCATTGTGAATCTTCATATAGCTCAGCTTTTAGTTTCTAGGTACAGGTTTTTTTCCAGAGACATCGGTAGACAGCTTGTTGGCTGCAGGGACCTTAAAATTTCCTTTTAATCCCCTCCCACCCTCATTCCCTAGGAAGTGCCCGCATACTTCCTTCCTGTGATTCCTGAGAATCACCAGAGACCACAAGGTGTCACTAAGCTCTGAAGAGAGGTCAGCTCCTACTTGTATGCTCTTGGCTCCATATCAATTTGCCTCTGCTGTGGTCAGGGTTTTCTTTCATTCCCTATGTTTTTTGTATGGTGTCTACTAATTGCACCTTTTTTCTTTTTCCTTTCTTATGCGTAAGCTGTAGTAAGTCAGTTACTGATGTTAACAGTTGCTGTCAATATCTCAGAAGACCATAAGAAATGGGGCAAAGTTTTCTAATGAGGGCTTCCTAAGAACACGTTTGTTTAATGGCTCCATCTGCTGGAGAGAGTCTGAACTGCTTGTTTTTGTTATCAGATAAAATTGTCAGAGGCGAGCTAGAAAGTTCCTAGATATAGCTGGACATTTTTCAGGGAATTTGCCCTAAAGATGAAACTACTGTTAGCAGCATTGTGAGGGACTGAAGAGAGGGAAGTTCTAGATTTTCAGCATTGCCAAATGTCTTCTGTTAAAGTGAGGGCACCAATTGGAAGGATTGAGATCTTGAGAACTGGAATGGGGATATATAGGAAGATTCTAATCAAGCTAGGGACATGGAACCCTAAATTTTATTGAGTCTTTTTTGCCAGCAAATGGAGCCCTTCCACCCGCATCTGAGGAGGTTAACCTTGCTTTGCTTGAAGCACCTGTAATTCCCTCCCTTAAGTAGATGGGTTCTAGGTTAAGTGAACAGAAGTCTAACCTGAATTCTATAAATAAGCGGTCATGTTCATTCAGTTAATTTCCTGACTTGAGCCATTTTACAGACCCAGAATCTCTTTAATTACAAGTAGGGGGGGGCAAGTCTTTGAGAAAGAACTCTTTTAAACAGAAAAAAAGTTATATAGCTCATCTTTTCCCCACTCTTCCCTAAAAAGATCTATGACCATTAACATGGATGACTATGCATTGAGGAAAGAGAAATAATAAGACTTTTGAGGAGTTGCTGGGCAGTAGCTCTGAGTGGACACTAATTTCAGGAGACCCAAGCTGTCATTGTATTACACTGATCAGAGAAGGGGCAGAAGGAGGTCAAACGATGAATGAAGTTGTGGCTTAGGTCTGCCTCACAGGTCTGCCTGTTTTCTTCATCCATCAGAGACTTCTCCCTGGGAAGAGCCTACAGGTAGGCATATGGATGCCAGTAGCTTCTATCTCCTGAAGACTATAATCCAAGAACTCCTGGATATATATGTAAAAAAAGAATGGATTTCCAAATTTGAGAGGAGAAAGAAAATAAGAAGGGATCGTTTCCAAAATATCTGAGGCAAGATTACCAAACAAATTATTCTGGGACCACCAAGGAATCACTTGCTAGACTCTACCCTAGAATCACATGAGCAGGAAACACCTGCTCATGGTGCCCCATGCCCTTTAGTGAAGGAATGCAAACCAGAGTACCTGCACTGCCATCAGCTGTGTCTGAATTCCAAGACCTTTGTAGACCACTTGCAGTACAAAGTGTAAGGTATTTTTTTTAAAGATTTTATTTATTTGAGAGAGAGAGAGAGAAGGAGCGGGGGAGGCACAGAGGGAGAAGCAGACTCCCACTGAGCAGAGAGCCTAATGTGGGGCTCGTTCCCAGGACGCTGGGATCATGACCTGAGTCAAAGGCAGATGCTTAACAGACTGAGCCACACAGTGTTAGGTATTTTTGTTCTATCCCCTGTACACAGCAACTCCTTGGTGATTATTGTCCCTCAAAAGATTCTGTGTTTTCAAGTAGTTTAGTCTGAAAATCAAGCTAATAGGTATTCTTATAGTTCTATAAACACTACCGTGCTCATAAAATGAAACTTTTTTTTTTTTTTTTTGCTGGAATGTAGTGCCAACATGCCATAAGACAAATGCTTTACCCATCAGTTTATGTAACTGTCCAACTCGACATACACAGGTTGGTTTGTCGTGTTATGATATGATGTGCAAGAAAACTTGTAAGGATATGATCACCGGAAAGAGGTGAGCATAAACATCACAAAAAAAAGTTGTCTCTGAAGCATTTAACCCTTCATATAAACTCCCTTGGCATTTATAGGATTCTCTTTCAATATCAGTCACCCACCCAGAACAATTCTTCAGTTTTCCCCTGGCACTCAATGACCTACCAACTGAGCCTCCATTGTCTGAGTCTCTGTTTCTTTTGTAGCCTATCTCCCCAGCCACTCACCAGTATTTCACTTCTGTGATCACTTAGAGAAAACTTAAAATAGTAAATAATCTTTCGAGTATTTATTATGTGCTAGACACTTTAAAAGGCACTAGAAATTCAAAAACAGATATTGAAACCTTATGTAATTTACAGTCAGGTGAGGGTGGAGAACATTAATCAAATATTCACTCAAAGACTGACATATGTAAGACCCAAAATGTGGTAAGTGCTGGGGAGGGGACTCTAATGTTGGGAAATTCGACCTTGTCATGGAGCTCAAGGAAGGGTCCTGAAAAACTCAGCTTATATAGAGAGAATGTTTGAGGGTTCACTTGATGGAGAAGAGAGAAAAGAGAATTCCAGGTATAGGGAAAATGTCTGTAATGCAGTGTGGTAAAATTCTGTATGAGTTCTTGAAATTTAGTCTAATGCGGTTGTGGTCCTGGGAGTTTGGGTAAGTTTTGTGTAGACAGACACTGACTAAGTAAGCAAGGATTAGACCTGACAAGGGATTTCTAAGCTGTGTTATGGAGTTTGGTGTTATTTTAAGAAAGATGTTAAAGTATTTTTCAAAAGAACGGTTGTATTTTTAGTATACATAGTTTTTAAATGTCACCTAGGTTACATGTCAGAGAATAACTGAAATGGGTTAGGAATAGAACAGGAAGACCCTGTTATGGCAGTTATTTAACATTTTAATTCTTTGCTATTAAGATTGTGAAAGCGAGGAAGAGAAGAGGTCAGATTTGAGAGATATTTAGTAAAAAAGGTGACAAGGCTTGGTTTTGTGAGAGGGAGAACAGCCCGGAAGTGTGGGCCAGAGAGAGGGTGGTGATGACACAGCTGGTTTATAGGTTGTGTAATTTCTTGTGTGGCGTGCTATTGACTGAGAGGCCAAGTGCTAGAGGGTTGTTCCTTTTGTGAGGAAAGTTAATGAATTATTTTCACACGTTGAGCTTGAAATGCCTCTGAGATTTTAGATCTGATATGTTAAATAAGCACTAGGAAATGTGCTCGCACCCCCACCCCCCACACACGGCCCTCTGGACTGTGATATAGTCTGACATCAAACTTCGTGTGGCATCTTTCAGTCAGAGAAATGGAGACTGATGTTCTGCAGCGTGAATTAGAGTTGACAAATCCATTGATCATTTTGCTCACAGTTTTGTCTGGCTACCTTACTACAAGACACCTGGGCACATTTCTTGCTCCGGGTTACCCGTTTTTCCTCTATTGAAAACCTATAAGGAAAGAAAATACTTATCTTTAAATCAGCGTATGTCCAGAGACTAAAGAGGGCCTCAGAAAATACTTTCGAATTTTTAAAATAAAAATATGATCATGAAAACAACTTAAACAATACACAGTATGATGAGTGAAGTGATTCTTCCCACCCTCAGTTTTATTTCTTAAGAGAACTTAATAGCTAATGATGATTAGTCAGAGATGTATATGGATGATGCTAAAAGGGCACCTCTGGTTTGCTCATTTAAAAATTATTGAAATGAGCAGAAATTTATATTTTATAAACTAAAATTGGGTTCTTATAAGAGGTTTTACATTTGTCAATTTACCTCTAAAATAAGATGATCAAATAAAAAGACACTATTGGCAAGCCCTATTTCACACCTAAATCTTCTGAGTGGGTGGAGTGAGATTTCTTTTGTTTCTCAACTTTCCGAGTAGACCATTCTATACATATATTTATCAGATCATATGAGTTGGTCAGGAAATTTATACCTGTTTCCAACAACATCAGATGACTCTTTCTTGTCACACAATATGGGATTAAAACTGTAAGAAAGCTGAAATACAATAAACTCACAGATGGGAGTCGAAAGGGTTGTTGTCTACCCAGGTCCATGATTTCCCTCCAGGTGGAATAGTTAAGCCAATCCAGTAAAACACTGAAGTATTTAGGTACCGCCACAGGAAACTCTAAATAGAACAGGAAATGTTACAACAAACAACTGACTGATTCTAACAGATATAGATATATATATATAGATATAGAAATATATAGATAGATCTATATACAGATATAAATATATATAGATATAGATATAGATATATAGCGAAACTTGTATGTGCTTGGCCCTGAACTAGAAGCAGGGAATGGACAGGTAAGACATATATCACGTTTTTCTTTTTTTTTCTTATTGTCAAAAGATTTTATTTATTTATCTATCTATTTATTTATTTATTTATTTATTTATTTATATATTTATTTATTTATTTGGGAGAGAGCGAGAGCATGAGCACAAGTTGGGGGGAGAGGTGGAGGGAGAGGGAGAAGGAGACTTCCCGCTGAGCAGGGACCCTGGGATCATGACCTGAGCCGAAGGCAGACGCTTAACCGACTGAGCCACCCAGATGCCCCTACTTCACGTTTTTCTAACAGATCAGAGCAGAGAGACAAATTACTGCAGTGCAACGTGGTGACAGTCAGGTGGAATTTTGTATGATTGCAGGAGATATTAAGACTGTGAAGTCAAATTTCCAAATTTGAGTCCCTGTCCTATGATTTACCACTGTGCAACTCTGCAGTTATTGAATCTTTTTACTGCTGTTTTCCCCAATCTCTGCAACTCATTTATTACAGTACCTATTTTAAAGAGTTACTACTGTTTTGCTATTAAATAATATTATTATATACTGCCTGGCACATAATAAATTCTCATTACATTAATGTTAGTGGTTATTGTAAAAATGAGTATGAAATAATATATAGAAGGAGGGGAATATACAGGGAAAATTAAAGAAAGAAAGCAATACTGAGCTGATGTGAGACATACTGTTCATAGTTTCTTAATATCTCTTTTTAATATCTCTTAATATCTTAATATCTTAATTTTCTTAATATCTCTTTTTCTATAGTAATATAACCCCAAGCGATATATATGGCCAGAAGTAATGAAGGCTACATTTCCCAGCTCCATTTTGGCTAAGTGTGACAATGTGACTGACCTAATTTCTAGAAGAGGTCAGATTTGAGAGATATTTAGTAAAAA